CGAGGAACGGACGAGGATGTCAAATAGAGAATCGGAAAGGCGAGAAACACATTCATCAATCTGAAACCAATCTGGAAATCTTCGTCACTCAGCCTGCATCAACAACAAAATTCGGATTTTCAATACAAACGTCAAGTGAGTCAGTTCTTCTATACGGATCAGAAACTTGGCAGGTCAACAAAGAATATTTCCAACAGCCTGTTGCAGACAATTATCAATGGTTTTCTTCGTTCTGTACTGAAGATCAGATGGCCGGAAAGAATCACCAACAAGAAACTATGGGAACAAACAAAACAAGAACCAATCGTCCGATAAATATGCAGGAGAAAGTGGAAATGGATTGGACACTCGCTGAGGAGGCCGCTGGGTGACATCGCGCGTCAGGCCATCACTCGAGTGGAACCCGAAAGGGAAACGGCGAGTGGGACGTCCAAGGGTCACATGGAGGAGATCGTGTGAAGAAGAGTTGAAACAGTATGGACTAACATGGATTCAGGTGAAAAGTACAGCAGAAGACAGAAGCAAGTTGAGGCGTGCAGCTGAAGCCCTATGTTCCACTAGGAACCTAAGGGAACAATAATAATAACAATGGTAATTCGTATGTTAAATCCCGAACTCTACATACAACAAAATAACTTTGTTCAGTCATTAAATCTACAATGGACCTGATCTATCTTAACACCAGATACGTAATTTGTTGTGTTTTTTTCGTTTGTTTCTTAATTGCATAGTATTTTCTTCCCCCACCTTATGTTTAGTCTCTACCCACTGTTGTTAACTTGATTCTTGTTCAACCCTATCAATTAGATTACGTCACCCAACCTACCTATGTAATTTTATTCTAGTTTCTACCTGATTAACGCTCTCTACATTATGTAATTTGTTATCTGAAGAAATTACCATTCTAAAGACACATAGTTGGAAATATTCCTTTTATTGCTAAGGGAAATTTACCATGTATATCTATGCGATTATACAGGTTGAGAATGATATCACCGAAATGAGTAACTCTTCGCTGAACGTCTTTTTTTCTATATGACTCAATGAAGATCTTCAGGTTGTCTTCTTACACATTGGTAATGTTTGAAACTGTTGGAAACTATAAGGACTATGGCTTAAATTAAGCTCATCTTATTGATTATTCGCAGATCAACACTACAACTCTTTAAAGTAACCAAGATCCTATTGCCTAACAAATATGCCTTACGAAGTTTAGATGGACTAGACACATCCAAGTGACAACACACACACAAAGAACAGGAAGCATGAGTTTTATATCCATAAGTGACATGGAGAAGATCATGTTTAAAGGTGATGAAAGCTTTCGGGCAATTGCAAAACCATCTGACAATAATGATACAGTGACCAGTGTAGTAGAGATGTTGACATGTAGAGATGACGACAATGATATAGGAATTAAATCAGAAATTAAGTATCTTGGACTTACAGGATTTCATCATGAGCTGACATTAGTTCGAGAACCATTGGAAAACCTGGGAGTACTGGACAGCTGTTTTGTCCTAGTTTGGGACTCTTCATCAGTACGCACCCACCCGCTTGCAATTCGCACCCAGGACCTTCTGCTTACAAGGCTAGCGAGCTCGTATACCATTAAGCCACTGGGACCCGATCCAATGGCCCAGTGAGTGCGTACTGATGAAGAGTTCCAACCTTGGACGAAACAGCTGTGCAGTACTCCTTGCTGGTTTTCCAATGGTTCTCTAACTAATGTCAGCTTATAATGAAATCCTGTAACCAATCAAATCCCTACAAACCAACACTTGAATATCTTGGAATTATTCTCTCTTCTGATCTCTCCTGGTCTTCCCATGTCTCAGCGATCTCCAGTAAAATATTCCGCCTGACATTTTACATTAAGAAGTTAAGGCACTCGGGTATAACTCAACCCCTCCTCCTCTTACAGTTCACAAACTCTTGCATCCTACCTATTCTTCTTTATTGCTCACCCTTTTTCTAGTAGGTCAGGGGTAGTCAGATTGTCAGAACATAAGAATTTAGTGGCTAAGGTAAGAATGGTTGACCCCGAGAAGATAAGTAATTTAGAAAAAAGCTCAGCAATTGCAATGCATGCATTAGCACACAACCACACAATAGGGTGGGAGAGGGTTAAAATTCTGATAAGTAATCTAGGTAGGTGGAGAGAGAGGTTGATTACTGAATTCTTGTTCATCGAATTTACACCCAACACATGCAATAGGAATGATACATCACTCATACCCGAAATACGGAAAATATTACTACCAATCAAATCAAGTGAAAGACAACGGAACTATATAAATGAATTTAGGAAGTCGTGTGATTAACTTGATATGATTATGAGCAATAAATTGTGCTCGAAACGTCATCAGTAAACATTACTGTATAACACTGTGAGACTTTTCAAAATAAAATTTACCCATAATGGAATTACACTCTACCACAGTGCACAAGTTTTATTCTTATATCAATGGTATATACAGGCTGTGATTCCCGAGACGGGCAAAATGCGCATCAAGGATACGATTGCAAAGGCAATACGCATCCCCTGAATGTGGTTGCAGCTAAACATAGTGAGTGTTCAGCCACTGAGTCGGATCTCACTGGTTGAATGCCATAAGAGCCAGGTTTACTTGTAACCAACAGGCCCTAGTTCCGAAACCAAGGTGTTTTGGATCTGTACTACCGTTCACTTGAAAACGGAGATGACCAAAAGGGCTCTTCAATATTCTCAAGTGTTTCTCGACTGCTTTACAATTCATTTCTCGCCGTCATCCAACTTCAAATGCAAATCAATATCTGAAAACACATTCGTGTGAACAGATCAAAGTTGTTTGAGTAGCGACTGTTATTATAAGGTTATCCATTTTCTGCTAAATGCATAGGACTGAAAGTGACCAGTTCGAATCGTGTGTACGCAAGTTAGGCATGCTTGCTCTCGATAAAAAGCGGTTGATCATAGTTTGATCTGTAGGCTTGTGTGCCTTCAATTAGTTTGTTGGACAAGAGTGTTTCCTGTTAAGTCATTAGGCGAAATGACGCGCAGTCTACAGTCTGAATCCGTTGAATGCTAATTCAGTATTGCGACAGTTAAGCACGTTCACCCTTTTAATCCTTTCACTACCCAGGAGACAGACAATACATTTCAAAAGCGGTTATGCAAAATGTGAATCAACAGCAAAGATTGATGATTGATAACGTCTATCCTTTTAGCATTGAAACAGGCGGTTACAAACCCCAGCGAGGATATGACTTCCATCAAGGTCGCAGATACGTCTTATTGATAAGTGGAAGTGGAAGCACTGGGGAATGGGATTCCTGTCAAGTGCTTCCAACTGTCTTAAATATTGAAGAAGATTTCCCTGCTGGAAAGCCCGCAGTGTAAAATGCATTTTATATTCCATCGGAGTATTCAGCACTTCAGTATTAACTTCTAAATGTCAAACTGTCAATTTCAGCTTAAGATGTAAACGACAGTTAAAAGAAGCCGTCGATTCTCATGACAGTTGTAAGATTGATGACAATGATATAGGAATTAAATCAGAAATTAAGTATCTTGGACTTATTCTCTCTTCTGATCTCTCCTGGTCTTCCCATGTCTCAGCGATCTCCAGTAAAATATTCCGCCTGACATTTTACATTAAGAAGTTAAGGCACTCGGGTATAACTCAACCCCTCCTCCTCTTACAGTTCACAAACTCTTGCATCCTACCTATTCTTCTTTATTGTTCACCCTTATTCTTTCCTGGTTTGTTTTAAAAGGACTATGTGACAATTCGTAGAATGCTGAAGACTGTCAGTAGGATGAGTGGTGTCCCAGTGGACCACATAGTTAACGTCGTGCAATAAATTTTCTAAAAGGATTTTGTCTGACTTGGAGCATCTACTTTACCCTCAGCTTTCACCTTGCATCTCCTCAGATAGAACAAGAAGTAACTTCAGAAAACTGTATGCTTGCACGTCTAAGTATAAAAATTCTATGATACCATCCTTGACACGTATTTTATGTGATGAAAATAGCGTCAGGCAAGAATTGACTAACCTTTTTTCATCTGGTAATTAAACAATTTCCTCCATCCATCCTTATATACCTTCAAGTTCTGCTTTTATTATTTCTATTATATTTATGGTCTTGTTTCTTCTTTGTTTTTACTCTCATAATTGCAAACGCCAACTTTTCTCTATGACTGCTGTAATCTCTGCTTTTTCCCTCACCATATCATGTAAAGAGAACATTATATTCAATAAACCTGCCAGGATTTGTATACCGCATCGACAATACTGTGTGAAACAAGCCCACGGCAATTTTCACTTGTTTTATTAGGATTACCTTAGGTGTTATCATTATTACTATTATTATTTCCATTTTATATGCTGCATATTTTTGACATTACCCCTATTGTAAATGTGTAAAATTTTGTGTGATTAATTTTATTTATAATTTGAGGAAATTAGATGCAATATTGTGATTAATGCTGAAAATTCCATTCTGTATCACAAGTACTGTTTTTGGAATAAAGTCAGTGATCTACTCCGGTCACTCAGAGGATAACCACATGCACACCGAGGGCGTGGCTATCATGATGTCACCAACGGCAACGAAGGCCCTGATGCAATGGGAGGCGATCTCGCCCAGGATAATGACCGCCAGATTCAACTCCAAAGGAAGGAAAGTGTCAATTATACAATGCTATGCACCGACAAACAACGCAGACCTCGAAAAGAAAGAAGAATTCTGCGGACAACTACAGGCAACAATGGACAATACTCCAATTGGCGACATTGAAATACTAATGGGAGACATGAACGCCAAACCGGGATCAGATAACACAGGAAGGGAACTCATCATGGGTAGAGAAGCTCTCGGAGAAACGAATGAAAACCGAGAATGAATGATGGAGAAAAATGAAGGTTCCACGTTCTACTCATAACAGAATAAATGAATTATATACATAAATTATTTAAATAAAAATAGTATTTCCACTATTTTTTCTAAAACTTACATCATCTTTGCTATCCAAATTTGAGGTTTTCAAATATGATTTAATGAATACAATTGAACCGGATTCTTTACACTTTTCTAGTGCTGTTAACAGATTTGTAATTAACACAGAATCTTTGCTTGTTTTATTCATTTCAGCTGGATCAATAATAAACTACACGCGGTTGTTTAAATTAAGCATGGGCGGGAAAAAAGAAAAACAAAATAAAACAAAAAGTGAAAGTGTAATTCAAAACTGGAAACGAAAATAATTTAGGGAATTAAAAGAAAATGTAGAAATATTAATTTTGAGTTTGGACAATGAGAATAATTCCATCATAGGGTAGATTTATTTATTGAAAATAAAATCACACGGTGATACAGTGTTCTCTACTTACTGATGACTGACTGACTGACTGGTTTCAACATAGAACTTTCCACCGATGTGCAGCGTTTCGAGTCACGAGGACCCCAACCATGAAGTCTACACCTCTCGATGTGGCTTAAGCTAACTTTTGTAAATTTCACTGACTGATGAAACCATGTTTTGGTTTGACCACCACTGGTTCCTTTCCAACCTGACTCTATGTCAGCTAACATTGCCCTTCGAGGAAGGCAGGCAATGACTAGGCATGCGTAACACATGTCCTAACCACCTGAAACGGTGGAAGTTTATTACCTCGTCAATGGATTTCTCCTCCTTACCTAGCACTCGACTGATGCCTCACCTCAATGTTATTATTATTATTCCCTTGAGTTCCGAGTGGAACATAGGGCTGGCTTCAACAACACATCTCCACTTTGTTCTGTTTTATGCCGTCTCTTCATCTGAGTCCAAGATTGACCAAACTCTCTCATCTCTTCCTCACACGATCTCTTCTATGTCACCCTCGCAATAACGGCGCACTCGTCGCTTCCCATTCGGATTTCACTCGAGCGACTGGCGTGCTATGTCATTCGATGGCCTCCTCAATGTGTGCCCGATCCATCTCCACCTTCTCCTACATGTTTGTTGAGCGATCGGTTGGTTTTTTCCCAGCCAGAGTTTCTTGTCGCTTATTCTTTCTGGCCATTTAATCTTCAGTATGGAGGAAGGCAGCTGTTGATGAAAGTCTGTAACCTGTTGGAAATCCTTTTCGTGACACGCAGTGTAAGTTTCAGACCCGTATAGAAGAAATCTATTATACCACTTCACATGGGGGATAGAACACAAGCACCTATGACCAAAGACAGTTATCCTTTTTATGTTCTCCACTCTCAATGGCCAGGTCTCACAGCCATAAAGGAGGACGGAGCGGACTGATGAACAGTACACACGTCCTTTGGTCGATAGCCAGCCGGCAGGACATCACGTCTACTAATCCAGAGACGGAGTAAACTGGCATATGTGAAACTAACCCTCTGCATCCGTGCTGAGGTTTCGTCAGCAGTTACTAATGGCATTTCGAGGACAATTTATTGCCGCTCATAATCATATCAAGCTACTCACTGACATAACTTTTAAATATTCAAGTGTTGGTTTGCAGGAATTTGACTGGCTACCACAGGATTTCATCATGAGCTGACATTAGTTAGAGAACCATTGGAAAGCCTGTTCGGGAGTATTGGACAGCTGTTTCATCCTAGTTTAAGACTCTTCAATAGTACGCACCTGCCACCACTGTCCGAAATTAGGACCTTTTGGTTATAAGGTGAGCTCGTCGACCATTAAGTCACTTGGATGTGGTCAAGTGGCCAGCTCATGAACCCCAGCTTCTGCCAATTAACTCATGACATTGGCTAGTGGTCACGCTATATCGCGAGTTGGCATAATTTGGAATTCATGGACGGGCCATTGGATCGAGTCACAGTGGCTTAATGGTCTACCGGCTCACCTCATGACAAGAAGGTTCTGAGTTCGAACACTGGCGGTGGGTACATACCGATGAAGAGTCCCAGACTTTCCAGTACTCCCAAGTGGCTCATCAATGGTTCTCTAACCGTTGTCAGCCCATGGTAGCATCTTATAACTTCTAAAATTCATTTGTATAATTCCTTTGATTGCATTCATAGTAATATTCTCCATATCTCGGGTAATGGCGATGCGTCATTCCTACTGCATGAGCTAAAAGTGTAGATTCGATGAAAAAACATTCAGTAGTCAATCTCTTCTGCCCCTCCCCACACGTGTATTACCTTTTAGAAATGTACGTAGCACTGTCCAACAATATTTTTGTATGAATATGTGCTAATGCAAACTTGAAGGATCTGGATTTCCCCGGTCATGACATATGTCTGATTTCCCACAAAGCAACAAGTTCGCAGAAGAAGCATCCACAGAAGATAGGACTTCATTCAGGTGAACATAGAGAAAACAGAGGTGATGAAGATTCCTGGCCAACAGCAACAGCAACAACAGTAGACAACAGACAACAATCAGCATAAATGGGAGAAATATAAAGCAAGCAACCTCCATCACCTACCTACCTACCGACTTCCGAAGTATCTTTCCAACTACTGGCGGACGGAACTGATGAGGATATAAAAGCGAAAGCAAGGCAAGCTTTCATCTCTCCTAAGTCTACGTGGAGGTCAACAGTACTGAGCATGAAAAATAAGATCAGGATTTTCAACTCCAATGTGAAGTCAGTGCTACTTATTATATGGATCGGAGACTTGGCGCTGCGCCGCGTCACGAATGGCATTTCGAACAAACTACATACCCTCATCAATAGATTTCTTCGCCCAAGACTACTCAAGATCAGATGGCCGGCCAAAAAAGATCAACAACAGGGATCGCCATGCCAGGCCATCGCTCAAGTGGATACCCATCGGGAAGCGGCGAGTTGGTCGTCAGTGCGAGGATGACATGGAGGAGGAGGTCATATGAAGAGGAGATGAAACCATGTGGGCAGACATAGAGCCAGGTGATGAAAACATTGGTGGAGAACTGAACGCAATGGAGCCGTGTGGCTGAAGCCCTATTTTCCCCTAGGAATTAAGGGAAACAATAATAATAATGGTAATGTGCTAATGCATGCATTGCGATTGGTGAATTCTTTTCTAAACTATTCATCTCCATAGGATCGGTCATTCCAGACTTAGTTAAATTCTTATGTTCTGATAGTCTGACTTATATAGTTGGCCTCACACTACTTACAAGATGTTTTAGGTCACAATAGAGGGTACCTAACGCCATAGAGTTTGTCCCAGAGTCTAGAGTTTCTAGGCTTAAATGTTACTGTGATTACTGATCTATTTAGGAAGGATTTCAGATGTCCTCTCTTTATATGGAAAAAAATTGCAGAGGCGCTAATTTCTTTCTTATTTATATTATGGTCTGTAGTTTCACTAGTAATTTCCATTTTCTTATGAGATTCTTAAAGATCTTCTTAATGAATTTTATATGATACTTATTTAACGACAGAGAATGGGAAGAAATTTTGCAGGCGATAAGATGAATTCATGTCACTCCTATTACGTCATCCATATACAACCTGAAAAGTAAAATACGTAACCAATCATCGTGACGATTCCAACACAGAAAATTTTCTTTTCGACGAAGTCATCAACTGGGAGGCAAAAAAAAATTCGTGTATTTATAGCGAATGAGTGAAAAAGTTCCAGAGCACTTCCCGATCAAGGGGTAAATCAATAAAATTGCAAATATTTTAACTGAACCGACAGTACAGTGAGATGTTGAAAACGGAGAGAGCACATACATTACACAGAAATAACAAAATTATGATCAAAAATGGACGCATTCTTATACTGTGGGGATGGAAATATTTCAGAATATGAAGGTGGACAGACGAAGTACTTCAAGAATACTTTGAATTATTGAAGCTGTCGCCATCCGAAAAATGAAGCCCCAGTCATTTGTCCACAAAAAGTTTCCTGCTGACTTATTACTTCCGTCAGTAACCACAGACTCCTTCAATTTAAACCCATCGAAAGTTCATAATAATAAAGGTTTCTTGTATTTCTCAATGAATGAATGAAAAACAAAACGATGTATGCTGTTCTTACTGACGCCTCACTATTGAATGCTGCTGCTAATAGCTTTATCAAAGTGGTAATATCATTAAACCAGAAGAATATACAAAATCTCAGCTTATAAATATAACATATGAAAAAGAGAAGACGTTCAGCGAAAAGACTCTTTACGGCGAATTCATTCACATAGCTGTACAATCGCATTTATATATAATTATTTGTGTGTGTGTGTGTACATGAGGTTTGTCAAGTTTAAATAATTGATTAATTAATACAAGAATGATGTAATATGGAAACAAAGTTAATCAGACAGCAACTAAAGTAAGATTGAGTTAAAAATAAAACATTAAGAAGACAAATTTCGTGAGATGACATCGTCATTTCGTAGTTTCTTTACAACCGCTTTACAACTAACATGGTTAACAATAATAAAATAAAGGTCATGTACTCCAGGGTAGGTAGTAAGCTAGATGACGTAATATAATTGACTAAAATGCTTCAACTTAGATCAGGGCAGCAACAGAGGTAATTACAGGTAGGGACTAAGTAGAAGTGAGATTGAGCAAATAAGTTGCATGACGTAACATAAATGACTAGAAATTGAGTGTTGTTCAAGTCAGTAGCAGTGGTAGTGAGGTATAGAAATTGAATCGGGTGGGGGTAGAGAACAAGAAAGTTGAAAATGCAAAATATTACAATTGAGAAGACAAACTAATACTAATAAAGAGACAGAAGAAAAGATTAGGTAGAATTTACTTATCGGGTAATAAGATAGATTACGTCCATTGCAAGTGTAGTGATTGAACGAACTTCTTCTGTATGCAGAGTTCAGGACTTATAGCAAGTGAATCGCCATTGCTTCTGCAGTTTCAAGAATTCTGATTCGTATACCTTTAGGAAGGCTACTTCTTACTCTGTAGACGACTTTGAAGCTTGTTTGGGGGCTGTAGCTTGGTATCCGGATTCTATCAGATGTTCTAAGATGGAACTGCCTCTTAGCATGGGGGTATTTTACCGTTGTCAAATTGGCCAATTGGTAAAGATAACAAAACCAGGTGTAGATGACTGTTGGATTTGATATAAGAATAAAACTTGGGCACTGGGGTAGAGTGTAATTCCACTATGGGTAAATTTTATTTTGATAGAGTCTCACAGTGTTATACAGTAATATTTACTGATGACGTTTCGAGCACAATTTAT